GGTTGAACAGGAAATTACGGTCTTGGGACAAAGCCAGATACTGTTCCCTCATTGGTTACTTTGACAAAAGTCAAACGTGTCGAATTAGTGGGTTGAGGTGTAGGGGCGGAGCTTATTCTAGACAGAAAAGAGACACCGCTCCTCCTACCTGTGTGACGTAATGAAACGCTCATCTCTGGAAAAGAAGAGGACACAACATGGAAACACTAACGCTGAAAAGAAGCCCCATAGCTCGAATGGGATATGCGCTTTCATAGTCATTGGCATTGCTTAATACATGCATTGCGATTTTGACATTCCAGGTGTGTTTATGTTATTTTTTTAACTCGACGCAGCTCATTACTTGCACCACGTTTTCATTGTACGATGTGTAAATTCAATAGTTGAATTTTGAATATTTTGGTGTTCTCCATATTAGTAGCCTGCTGATGATTTGATTGGATACATGATAAAATGGGTGATCAGAAAGAAGTGAATGTATTTTTATGAATAAGAGGAGCGAGAAAGAGAGAGAGAGGATTGCACATCTGGAAATGTTGGTAAGTGCAGCTATTCTATTCATTCTGTATTCACGTCATCATTGTGTAATTGCGTTATATTGTTGATAACAATATAGCCTAATTTAATGTAATGTCATGTAGCCTGGGAATTTCTGGACTATTCGATTTTATAACGTCTGTCATTATAAAGACATCAAAATGAAACGGTCATAAAGGTTTGTACTGTGTCATATAAAACTCGGCAAACATATGCGGAATGGAAGAGGAGTCCATGGCCAAACAATGGCGCATCTCCGTTTTCTTTATTATTTATTGATGAGAACATTTCAATGCTCTTTGTCTCCATTATAATATAGTGTTACAAATAAACATCGTGCTAAATTGCATCGATGCTCAACAGATTAGAATAGGAACTCCATACAGAATGCTACAGGTATTCGTTATTAGATATTTTGAGCATTTGAGCAACATATTTAATGGCTTCGATGTTCTTAGAATAGAAACTCCACAGCATTATAGGCCATAGACTGGCTAACATTCCTGCGCCTCTACAGGTATTCGTCATTCGATATTTTCAGCAAATCAATTGAGCAACATATTTTGTTGTACAACGCTGTCTGGAAAACATCTCCCTTCCCTCTGGCAGAAGAATCGCAGGTTAGCGTTTTTCGTCATGTATCTTGTTCTGGAGGCAGCTCTGCAAAGTGGTCACTAGCTGGCACAGCCACAAAGTAATAACATCTGATTTTAAACCTAACCTTAACCACACTGCTAACCTTAACCTTAAGTATGACCCACCACCTGGATTCTGTCCTATGTAGCAACATTTGAAATGTATTTTATTTTATTTTTTACATTGGATAAAAGTAGAGACTCAGCAAGAAAATTGTATATCATACATTGCAGTTGAGGAACAATGGGAAAATCATTTTGCTTTGAAAGTTGATAAACTTGTAACCCCACTTTTGAGAAAATGGCCCTTGAATGTTTTGGTGCACCTACTGGAGAGCTTTTCTTTGTCAGCACCCATTCAGCATCGTTCACACCCTCTTAAGCCTTAGCCCCACCCATCTCTTTATGGATTCACATGTGAGGCCATGTGCTAAACAGAGTGAGTAGTGTTGTAAACAACCAAAGATTTCAAGACTAAAAGTGGTAAAACTCCAGGTAAAAATACACTGTATCTAGTCCTTAGCCTATATCCTAATCTGACTTTGGTGCAGGTCATGTTGTTCTTTACATTACCGTCTTTGGTAAACACACACTATGTCAAGTAAAATCTAAGTTTATTTGTCACATGCACAGTATACAGAAGGTGTAAACGGTACAGTGAAATGGTCACTTGCATAGGAACAATATCAAAAACAGAAAGTGTCCAGATATAAATATTGTATAATTATTAGATGACGCTTACCCATTCACACTTGTCTAAATTGATGGGTCATGTGAAAGAAATGCTATAACCCCCCCCCCCCCCCCCCCCCCCCCCCCCCCCCCCCCCCAGCCACATCTAGCTAAGTGGATGGGTCACTATTCTCTAGACATGTACACATGTTCATGAAATATAATAGATGGCCGTAATCACCCCCAGACACACCTGGCTAACTTCATGGGTCATGTAATCATCTGGCAAAGTGGAGTCTTGTTTAGACATGTAGCTAGCTAGCTATCTAAACAATGAACCGGCATAATCCCAACTCATACTACTACCAATACAATCATTGTCATAGCTGTAGTATGAATCAGCAGGTAGCTAAAGCTAACCAACTAGGTTCAATGTTAGCTTGCTAGCTAACATTTGGCTATAACAAGAATAATATTACTACACAGATCATACACCTAACGTTAGCTAGCAAGCCAGCAAGCTAAAGTTCACTAGCTAGCTAACAGTATGCTTTAACTTGCAATGAAAACAAGGTTTTGATAAAATAAAAAACGTATAATATCTGAAAATGTAGCTAGACTCTTACCTGTATACATGGATGAACGCTTCATGGCAGACTGGAACCATTTAACTCAGTTTTGTTTGTAGCTACATCTTGTTTGGCCAGTGTTGTGTCAAGCCACTCCAGTTCACACTGACTGTGGCGTGTGCAGAAAGAAGCCCGTTACAACTTTTTCCAACTGATCTGTCGATAGCGCCTGCTAAATTCAGGGCATCAATGTTGTTGAGAAAAGTAAAACAACTTTTGTAGTTCTCGATGGCTAACATTATGTCTTTCAAAAACGCTGCAGTAGAAAGGACTGTCAACACATACTGAGCAGCTCACGTTATAGACAGAAGCGCGCTACATGGCAGACCAATCCAAACTCATCTCCCAGCACGACAAGCCCATCCCCATTATCTCCACCAATCATGGCTAGCGGGAACGTTCCTGTCTTTTTCCGTGGCTAAACCAACTAGGCTCATAATTTAACCATTTTATTCGTATTTACAGATGGAATACAAGTTTGTTATTAAGGCACATGTAAGTTCAAATGTTTGAGAAGGCATTTCTGCCAGAAAACGCATTTTGATACAAATATAAAAAGACGTTCAAATGGCTCTCCTGTGAAGTAGTGACGTGCGACAGACAGTGGAGAACAAGTATTTGAAACACTGCAGATTTTGCAGGTTTTCCTACTTACAAAGCATGTAGAGGTCTGTCATTTTTATCATAGGTACACTTCAATTGTGAGAGACGGAATCTAAAACGAAAATCACATTGTATGATTTTTAAGTAATTAATTTGCATTTTATTGCATGACATAAGTATTTGATACATCAGAAAAGCAGAACTTAATATTTGGTACAGAAACCTTTGTTTGCAATTACAGAGATCATACATTTCCTGTAGGTCTTGACCAGGTTTGCACACACTGCAGCAGGGATTTTGGCCCACTCCTCCTTACAGACCTTCTCCAGATCCTTCAGGTTTCGAGGCTGTCGCTGGGCAATACAGACTTTCAGCTCCCTCCAAAGATTTTCTATTGGGTTCAGGTCTGGAGACTGGCTAGGCCACTCCAGGACCTTGAGATGCTTCTTACGGAGCCACTCCTTAGTTGCCCTGGCTGTGTGTTTCGGGTCATTGTCATGCTGGAAGACCCAGCCACGACCCACCTTCAATGCTCTTACTGAGGGAAGGAGGTTGTTGGCCAAGATCTCGCGATACATGGCCCCATCCATCCTCCCCTCAATACGGTGCAGTCGTCCTGTCCCCTTTGCAGAAAAGCATCCCCAAAGAATGATGTTTCCACCTCCATGCTTCACAGTTGGGATGGTGTTCTTGGGGTTGTACTCATCCTTCTTCTTCCTCCAAACACGGCGAGTGGAGTTTAGACCAAAAAGCTATATTTTTGTCTCATCAGACCACATGACTTTCTCCCATTCCTCCTCTGGATCATCCAGATGGTCATTGGCAAACTTCAGACGGGCCTGGACATGCGCTGGCTTGAGCAGGGGGACCTTGCGTGCGCTGCAGGATTTTAATCCATGACGGCGTAGTGTGTTACTAATGGTTTTCTTTGAGACTGTGGTCCCAGCTCTCTTCAGGTCATTGACCAGGTCCTGCCGTGTAGTTCTGGGCTGATCCCTCACCTTCCTCATGATCATTGATGCCCCACGAGGTGAGATCTTGCATGGAGCCCCAGGTGATTGACCGTCATCTTGAACTTCTTCCATTTTCTAATAATTGCGCCAACAGTTGTTGCCTTCTCACCAAGCTGCTTGCCTATTGTCCTGTAGCCCATCCCAGCCTTGTGCAGGTCTACAATTTTATCCCTGATGTCCTTACAAAGCTCTCTGGTCTTGGCCATTGTGGAGAGGTTGGAGTCTGTTTGATTGAGTGTGTGGACAGGTGTCTTTTTATACAGGTAACGAGTTCAAACAGGTGCAGTTAATACAGGTAATGAGTGGAGAACAGGAGGGCTTCTTAAAGAAAATCTAACAGGTCTGTGAGAGCCGGAATTCTTACTGGTTGGTAGGTGATCAAATACTTATGTCATGCAATAAAATGCAAATGAATTCCTTAAAAATCATACAATGTGATTTTCTGGATTTTTGTTTTAGATTCCGTCTCTCACAGTTGAAGTGTACCTATGATAAAAATTACAGACCTCTACATGCTTTGTAAGTAGGAAAACCTGCAAAATCGGCAGTGTATCAAATGCTTGTTCTCCCCACTGTATGCCTAGCTTCCTGAAACGGGTCACAAATTAAGACTGTTTGTTTTCATGAATTTTTACAATATAGCCAATTTTGACTTTGCAGCTGGCCCATCTAGAGGAAATCACTCAGTTCTGCCTCCAGGACAAGACATCCCAATAAACATCAAACTGCAGAAGAATCACACCATTTCACCACATAGGTGTGGCTTGGCTCAGACAGCATGATCTGATTCCATTCCCTGACTCCCTCCCTGTATCTTGCATTTGACTAGTCCTCAGTGTGCTTCAGTTGGACAGACTCAACAGAGCGCAGCTGACACAGCGACGGTGTGAGTGGAGCAGAGAGAACCGAGGATGGGGGGCGGAGGCCAGCAGACGGAGTCAGGCGAGCCGGCCAAGGGTGACAGGGGTGGGCTCGGTGGAGGGGGAGGAGGGCGAGGTGGCAGTGCAGTCTACACCTGGGAAGAGGTCCAGAGGCACTCTCACAGAGGCGACCAGTGGTTGGTCATCGACAGGAAGGTCTATAACGTTACCCAGTGGGTGAAGAGACACCCGGGGGGCATCAGGGTCATCAGTCACTTTGCTGGAGAAGATGCCACGGTCAGTAGCCTAACTATGGAAGTTGTTGGTGAAATGTTCTCAAGCTATTCCAATAAGACTGTTGCAAATGTTATAATGTTGTAGGTTTAGAAATGTTTAGTAGTCTGTCACTGTATGACATATTACACAAGATGTTAGTGGATTGTACATTTATGGATCCTAATATCATGATAATCTCTCAACTAATCTCACAGTGAATTAAAATATATATATTTTTTACTTGGAGACAGACACTGAGTGTACAAAACATTTGGAACACCTTCCTAATATTAAGTTGCACCCCCTTTTGCCCTCAGAACACCCTCAATTTGTCGAGGCATGGACTCTACAAGGTGTCGTAGGCGTTCCACAGGGATGCTGGCCCAAGTTGACTCCAATGCTTCCCACAGTTGTGCTAAGTTGTCTGGATGTCCTTTGGATGGTGGACCATTCCTGATACACATGGAAACCTGTTGAGTGTGAAAAACCCAGCAGTGTTGCATTTCTTGACTCACTCAAACCGGTGCGCCTGGCACCTACTACCATACCCCGTTCAAAGGCACTTAAATCTTTTGTCTTGCTCATTCAACCTCTGAAAGGCACACACACACAATCCATGTTTCAATTGTCTCAAGGCTTAAACATCCTTCTTTAACCTGGATTCACCTGGTCAGTCATGGAAAGAGTTCTTAATGTTTTGTGCATTCGGTGTATAAAGGACATTTGTATGTATTTCTCTTAAACAACACAGATTCATCTATATCTCTGATTTCTAGGAAGCATTTTCCGCCTTCCATCCCGATCCTAATTTTGTCCGGAAGTTTCTGAAGCCGTTGCTGATTGGTGCGCTGGCACCCACAGAGCCCAGCCAAGACCAGGGGAAAAATGTGAGGATGCCTATCTTTCTCTCTCCATCTCCCTCTACAGCACCACGCCCATAACATACATCGCTGTAGGCTACATAATGAAACATAGAATGTGAAGCCTAAAGCATCTCTCCATCTGACATAGCACCACGCCCACTCTAACATACTGTAGGTTTAGGAAGGGACCCGGGGACCAATGTGAGGCCAATCTTTCTCTTGCTAATAGGGAATTCCATGCTACTCAGACAGAATGCTGTGCAGAATGTTACTTTCTACGACTGTGGTAAGAGCAGGTGTGATGTGTATGGAGATATTTCAAGACAAGGTTTACCTCCTACAGATGTAGTGTGGCATCTTCAGTCATCTACTATAACTAGGGCACATTATACCAGCCTGTCTATGTGCCCAGATGCCCCGCTGCCCGCTGTCTGTTTACCTATTCAGGAGTCTTACCTCTTATCCTGGTACTCTTCAGCTTTCTGTTACTCCTATTTCCTTCTTCTTCTTCTTCTTCTTCTTCTTCAGGTTTCTCTTCTCAAATTACACTGTCCTCCTCCTCTCCTCCACTCCCTCAATTCTCATCTCTCTACCATCATCCACCTTCCTCCTGGTTCATCTTGGCTTTATCACAGTTTGTCTTTCTGCAATTCCTCGCATCCTGTCACCTCGCCTCCTCGAATCAATAACAGTTTAATTGAGAAAGACCCCTTACTTCATACATCTTTATTTATTATTGATCACCTCTACGCCATACAGGCAGCACTGGTGCAGGACTTCCAGGCCTTGCGTGATCGTGTGGAGAGGGAGGGACTCCTCCGTGCCCGCCCCCTGTTCTTCAGCCTCTACCTGGGCCACATCCTGCTACTAGAGGCCCTGGCTTTGGGCCTGCTCTGGGTCTGGGGGACCAGCTGGAGCCTCACACTGCTCTGTTCCCTCATGCTGGCCACGTCTCAGGTACCATTACAGTATTATTAGGAAGCAGAAGGAGATATTTGACAGGCAGATTCTAAGGTTAGGTATAGGGATCTAAGGTTAGGGTTAAGGTTAGGGGATTAGGGTTAGGGTTAAGGTTAGGGTTGGTGGGGTTAGGGTAAAGGTTTAGGTTAGGGTTAGGGGAAAGGTTAAGGTTAGGATTAAGGTTAGGGGAAAGGATAGGGTTGGTGGGGTTAGGGTAAAGGTTTAGTTTAGGCATAGGGTTAGGGTTAGGGTTAGGGGAAAGGTTAAGGTTAGGATTAAGGATAGGGTTGGTGGGGTTAGGGTAAAGGTTAGGCATAGGGTTACCGAACCACCTTTCAGACACCATTCACAATCTGCATTTCTTTTTTCCTCTCAGTCCCAGGCTGGCTGGCTGCAGCATGACTTCGGCCACCTGTCAGTCTTCAAGAAATCCAGTTGGAATCACATACTGCAAAAGTTTGTCATTGGACATCTAAAGGTAAGCTACTGGACAATGGTTGGACATTTGTCAATACTGTTTATTTAGGCTGATCTTCTGCTACTCTTTAGGCCAGTTTACCGGACACAGCTAAAACCTAGTCCTGGACTGAAAACCATTCTCAATGGATAATCTCTTTTGAAAGTACATTTTACTCCAATACTAGGTCTGTGTTCAGGAAACTGGCCCTTTCACTTTCCTACATTCACAAGAGCAGTGTTACATTTCCAAGGTCACTGCTCTACATTAGCCGTATTTAGTGTAGTGTCCCAACAGTTGGAAGTTACAGTAAGTGTAATTGTGTTCACCAGTGATACGTAACAGTAGCTGTGTGTTTCCAGGGTGCCTCTGCTAACTGGTGGAACCATCGTCACTTCCAGCACCACGCTAAACCCAACGTGTTTAGTAAAGATCCTGATATCAACTCACTGCATGTCTTCGTCCTGGGAAACAAACAGCCTGTAGAGGTAGTTATCACTATAATGGATCTGTGAATGTGATCCCTGCGGGAACTGAACCCGCAACCTTAGTGCTTTATGACCCATCTGACTCCATGTCATATTTGAATAATAATGTAAGAATTCATGTAATAATATGAATGTAATAGTTAATTAAATTAATGTAATATTCATGAAATAACCATGTAACAAAAACCATGTAACGGTTTGGCTCTGTAGTGTTGAAACGGTATTAGTGCTTCTGTGTAAGATCCATCTGACTCCTTGTCTCTGTCTATTGCAGTATGGTATAAAGAAGTTGAAGTACATGCCTTACCATCACCAACACAAGTACTTCTTCCTCAGTAAGTTTCATGAATTTCTGTATAGCATCACATCAATTATAGCATCACATCAACTTCCATTGAACACATAAAAGCAATAGATAGACAGCTGATGTACAGTGGGGGGAAAAAAGTATTTAGTCAGCCACCAATTGTGCAAGTTCTCCCACTTAAAAAGATGAGAGAGGCCTGTAATTTTCATCATAGGTACACGTCAACTATGACAGACAAATTGAGAAAGAAATATCCAGAAAATCACATTGTAGGATTTTTAATGAATTTATTTGCAAATTATGGTGGAAAATAAGTATTTGGTCACCTACAAACAAGCAAGATTTCTGGCTCTCACAGACCTGTAACTTCTTCTTTAAGAGGCTCCTCTGTCCTCCACTCGTTACCTGTATTAATGGCACCTGTTTGAACTTGTTATCAGTATAAAAGACACCTGTCCACAACCTCAAACAGTCACACTCCAAACTCCACTATGGCCAAGACCAAAGAGCTGTCAAAGGACACCAGAAACAAAATTGTAGACCTGCACCAGGCTGGGAAGACTGCATCTGCAATAGGTAAGCAGCTTGGTTTGAAGAAATCAACTGTGGGAGCAATTATTAGGAAATGGAAGACATACAAGACCACTGATAATCTCCCTCGATCTGGGGCTCCACGCAAGATCTCACCCCATGGGGTCAAAATGATCACAAGAACGGTGAGCAAAAATCCCAGAACCACACGGGGGGACCTAGTGAATGACCTGCAGAGAGCTGGGACCAAAGTAACAAAGCCTTTAAATCCTACAATGTGATTCTCTGGAAAACATTTTCTCATTTTGTCTGTCATAGTTGACGTGTACCTAATTATGAAAATTACAGGCCTCTCTCATCTTTTTAAGTGGGAGAACTTGCACAATTGGTGGCTGACTAAATACTTTTTTTCCCCCTATGTATGTATGTATGTATGTAATACCTATGTAGTATTTTCCTTCTGTCTCTCAGTTGGACCTCCACTACTTATTCCAGTGTATTTCCACATCCAGATATTGCGGGCCATGTTTTTACGACGGGACTGGGTGGTGAGATTTCATACCAACTAAACGTATACTTAATCCTCTTCATTCCTATGTGGAACATAAAGCTTCCACGAGAGAGAGACACACCTGTAATGATATGATTATGCTAACACCTGGGGGCACTAAATGCTTGTTCATTGCTCACTAAAGCTAGCAAGCATAATATTGCACCACCAACAACACACTGACTGTACCGTCAGAGATGACTAACTTCATAATCACAGTGATAATTGTCGCTTTGGTAGGATCCCAGATGTGATAATGTCTGTCCATAATACCAATCTTTGTCTCCTGTGAAGGATCTGGCGTGGTCGATGACTTTCTACCTCCGCTTCTTCTGCTGTTACTACCCCTTCTTTGGTCTCTTTGGCTCAGTCGCAATGATTAGCTTCGTCAGGTAAAGTATGAACTGAGAGGGAGCTGAAAGATTTGTTCATTCATTCGCTGGTTCGCTCACTCACTCACTCATTGTATTCAAACTATCTACAGGAGGGCTCTCCAACCCTGTTTCCTGGAGAGCTACCCTCCTATAGGTTTTCACTCCAACACCAGTTGTAACTAACCTGATTCATCTTATCAACCAGCTAATTATTATAATCAGGTGAGCTAGATTAGGGTTGGAGCGAAAACCTACAGGATGGTAGCTCTCCAGGAACAGGGTTGGAGGTAAAACCTACAGGATGGTAGCTCTCCAGGAACAGGGTTGGAGGTAAAACCTACAGGATGGTAGCTCTCCAGGGACAGGGTTGGAGAGCCCTGATGTACAGTATAGAAAACAACACAATGATGTGCTTGATGTAAGAATTGAACATAATATTGTGGCTGAATATTGTACTGTATATAGGTTTTTGGAAAGCCACTGGTTTGTTTGGGTGACCCAGATGAATCATCTTCCTATGGAGATGGATCACGAGAGACACCAGGACTGGCTCACCATGCAGGTAACGTGTCATTAATATTCACAAAGCGTCTTGGAGAAGGAGTGCTGGTCTAGGAATAGGTCCCCCCTGTCCTTACAATCCTATTCATCATTATCTTAAAAGGCTAAACTGGTCCTAGATCAGCACTTCTACTCTTGACGCTTTGTGAATACAGGTCCTGGTGTGTTTTCTGGGGCTGTGCTATCCGTAGTTCGCCAGTAGAGGGTGCTATAACGTGTTTATTTCTCCTGTCTCAGTTGAGTGCTACTTGCAACATTGAACAGTCACCCTTCAACGACTGGTTCAGCGGACACCTCAACTTTCAGATTGAACACCAGTAAGTGAAACAAATATCACACCTTACTGTTGTCTGTGTCAACAGCATATGCTGTATTTATATGGTCATTTATAAAGTCATTCAGATTCTAAAGAAGGTTATAGTTTAGGGAGTATTCAGATTAATTTCTCCTTTCACAGCATTATAAGGCTGCGTTAAGACAATGACTTATCTATGACCAGCTCATTAAATCCCTACCATTGTGTCGCTGAGTTGTCATAATGCTTCAGCAAATGTACGTTCTAGTAGGATCGTTGGAAGACACAATGTAAGTAACCTAATTTATGTTCCTCTTACTGCCCTGAATGCCTCTGCTGATCCTGCAGCTATTGTATGCAGTAATCATATGCATATGAACCAGAGTTATACTGTTAGCACTGAGGTGGTGTGCCCTAGTAGGAAGTCCACTGTGTGCAGCTCACCCTGCACTAATAAAAATTACCTGAGTATGTCTACCTCTGCTAAGCTTCCCAGTAAAGCAAGACAAATAATCAAGCATCCCAGAAAAGTGTTAAAAATAGCCCACGTTAACATATGTAGCTTAAACAAGGTTCATGAAATCAATAATTTGCTAGTAACAGATGACATTCATATTCTGACAATCTCTGAAACTCATTTAGATAATACTGTACCTTTGATGATACAGTGGTAGCAAAACAAGGTTATAACATTTACAGAAAAGACAGAAATGCCAACGGGGGAAGTGTTGCGGTCTATATTCAGAACCACATTCCTGTAAAGCTTAGAGAGGATCTCATGTTAAATACTGTTGAAGTAATATGACTACAGGTTCATCTGCCTCACCTAAAGCCCATTCTGGTGGGAAGCTGCTATAGACCACCAAGTGCTAACAGTCAGGATCTGGATAACATGTGTGAAATGCTTGATAATGTATGTGATATCAATAGAGGTATACTTTCTGGGTGATTTATATATTGACTGGCTTTCATCAGGCTACCCACTCAAGAGAACGCTTCAAACTGTAACTAGTGCCTGCAACCTGGTTCAGGTTATCAGTCAACCTACCCAGGTATATACAAACAGCACAGAAATGAAATCATCCACATGTATTGATCACATCTTTACTAATGCTGCAGAAATGTGTTTGAAAGCAGTATCCAAATCCATCGGATGTAGGGATCACAATATAGTAGCCATATCTAGGAAAACCAAAGTTCCAAAGGCTGGACCTAATATAGTGTATAAGAGGTCATACAATAAGTTTTGTAGTGATTCCTATGTTGATGATGTAAAGAATATTTGTTGGTCCGTGGTGTGTAATGAGGAGCAACCAGACGCTGCACTTGACACATTTATGAAATTGCTTATCCCAGTTACTCATAAGCATGCACCCATTAAGAAAATGACTGTAAAAACGGTTAAATCCCAGTGGGTCGATGAGGAAATTAAAAATGATATGGTTGAGAGGGATGAGGCAAAAGAGATGGCAAATAGGTCTGGCTGTACAACCGATTGGCAAACGCTCTGCAAATTGAGAATCATGTGACTAAACTGAATAAAAAGAAGAAACCATACCATGAAACAAAGATAAATGACAAAGAATGACAATAAAAAGCTTGGGGGACCTTTAAATGAAATTCTGGGCAAAAAGGCAAACTCTGCTCCATCATTCATTGAATCAGATGGCTCATTCATCACAAAACCCACTGATATTGCCAACTACTTGAATTATTTTTTCATTGGCAAGATTAGCAAATTTAGGCCAGCAACAAACGCTGACACTACACATCCAAGTATATCTGACCAAATTATGAAAGAGAAGTGTTGTAATTTTGAATTCTGTAAAGTACAGTGCCTTGCAAAAGTATTCATCCCCCTTGGCGTTTTTCCTATTTTGTTGCATTACAACCTGTAATTTTAATGGATTTTTATTTGGATTTCATGTAATGGACATACACAAAATAGTCTAAATTGGTGAAATGAAAAAAATAACTTGTTTTATAAAATTCAAATTATGAAAGACAAGCATTGTAATTTTGAATTCAGTAAAGTAAGTGTGGAAGAGGTGAAACCAGTATTATTGTCTATCAACAATGACAAGCCACTGGGGTCTGACAACTTGGATGGAAAATGACTGAGGATAATGTCTGACGATATTGCCACTCCTATTTACCATGTCTTCAATTTAAGCCTACTAGAAAGTGTGTGCCGTCAGGCCTGGAGGGAAGCAAAAGTCATTCCGCTACCCAAGAATAGTAAAGCCCCCTTTACTGGCTCAAATAGCCGACCAATCAGCCTGTTACCAACCCTTAGTAAACCTTTGGAAAAAATGGTGTTTGACCAGATACAATGCTATTTTACTGTAAACAAATCAACAACAGACTTTCAGCACGCTGGTAGGGAAGGACATTCAACAAGCACAGCACTTACACAAATGACTGCAGAGAGAAATTGATGATAAAAAGATTGTGGGGGCTGTTTTGTTAGACTTCAGTGCGGCTTTTGACATTATCGATCATAGTCTGTTGCTGGAAAAACCTATGTGTTATGGCTTTACACCTCCTGCTATATTGTGGATAAAGAGTTACCTGTCTAACAGAACACAGAGGGTGTTCTTTAATGGAAGCCTCTCAAACATAATCCAGGTAGAATCAGGAATTTCCCAGGGCAGCTGTCTAGGCCCCTTACTTTTTTATATATTTACTAACAACATGCCACTGGCTTTGAGTAAAGCCTGTGTGTCTATGTATGCAGATTACTCAACACTATACACGTCAGCTACCACAGCGACTGAAATGACAGCAACACTTAACAAAGAGCTGCAGTTAGTTTCAGAATGGGTGGCAAGGAATAAGTTAGTCCTAAATATCTCAAACTAAAAGCATTGTATTTGGGACAAATCATTCACTAAACCCTAAACCTCAAATAAATGGCTGGCCCTTGGATGTACACAGAGAGCTAACATTTAATAATATGCATGTCAATCTCTCCTGGCTCAAAGTGGAGGAGAGATTGACTTCATCACTACTTGTATTTGTGAGAGGGATTGACATGTTGAATGCACCAAGCTGTCTTTGAACTACTGGCACACAGCTCGGACACCCATGCATACCCCACAAGACATGCCACCAGAGGTCTCTTCACAGTCCCCAAGTCCAGAACAGACTATGGGAGGCGCACAGTACTACATAGAGCCATGACTACATGGAACTCTATTCCACATCAAGTAACTCATGCCAGCAGTAAAAGTTGATTAAAAAAACAGATAAAAATATAACTTATGGAACAGCGGGGACTGTGAAGCAACGCAAACATATGAAAACATACACACTTGGATTTTGTGTTATAGATATGTGGTAGTTGAGTAGGGGCCTGAGGGCACACACTTAATATGTTGTGAAATCTGTTATGAAAGTATTGTAATGTTCTTAAAATGTATAACTGCCTTAATTTTGCTGGACCCCAGGAAGAGTAGCTGCTCCCTTGGCTAATGGGGATCCATAATAAATCAAATCAATTTTTAATTGTCACATACAAATGTTTAGCAGATATTATTGCGGGTGTAGCGAAATGCTTGTGCTTCTAGCTCCGACAGTGCAGTAATATCTAACAAGTAATATCTAACAATTTCACAACAAATACACAATACACACATCTAAGTAAGGAATGGAATGAAGAATATATGGACGAGCAATGTCAGAGCTGCATAGACTAAGATACAGTAGAATAGTATAGAATACAGTATATACATATGAGATGAGTAATGTAAGATATGTAAACATTATTAAAGTGACTAGTGTTCCATTTATTAAAATGGCCAGTGATTTCTAATCTGTATATAGGCAGCAGCCTCTAATGTGCTAGTGATGGCTATTCAACAGTCTGATGGTCTTGAGATAGAAGCTGTTTTCAGTCTCTCGGTCCCAGCTTTGATGCACCTGTACTGACCTCACCTTCTGGATGATAGCGAGGTGAACAGGCAGTGGCTCGGGTGGAAGATGTCCTTGATGATCTTTTTGGCCTTCCGGTGACATCGGGTGCTGTAGGTGTCCTGGAAGGCGGGTATTTTGCCCCCGGTAATGCGTTCGGTAGACCTCACCACACTCTGTAGAGCCCTGCGGTTGCGGGCGGTGCAGTCGCCGTACCAGGCGGTGATACAGCCCGACAGGATGCTCTCAATTGTGCATCTGTAAAGGTTTGTGAGGGTTTTAGGTGCCAAGCCAAATTTCTTCAGCCTCCTGAGGTTGAAGAGGCGCTGTTGTGGGGCCCCAGTGTTGAGGATCAGCGACGTGGAGGTGTTGTTTCCTACCTTCACCACCTGAGGGCGGCCCGTCAGGAAGTCAGTGCGGGGTTCAGACCCAGGGCCTCGAGCTTAATGATGAGCTTGGAGGGCACTATGGTGTTGAATGCTGAGCTATAGTCAATGAACAGCATTCTTACATAGGTATTCCTCTTGTCCAGATGGGATTGTGCAGTGTGATGGCGATTGTATCGTCTGTGGATCTATCGGGGCGGTGTTTAGCTTGTCCGGAAGCGAGACGTCGATGTCGGCGACGTGGCTGATTTTCCTTTTGTAGTCCGTGATTGTCTACCACATACGTCTCGTGTCTGAGCCGTTGAATTGGGAGATACAAATACAAATATACCTGCTATATATGTTTGTACTAATTACTGTACCTCGTAATAGTGTTTAGATACAATATCGATACAATCCTACTCAGAAACTGAGGTTTCTCTAAGAAACTCTGATAGCGTCTGCTCTCTGGTCCCTCTACTCCTTCTCCTCAGCCCCCCGTCTTCCTTATCAGAGAGAGTCCGAGAGATCGGATCAGCGCGAGAGTAGCGAGAGCAGACGAGCGGATAGCTCAGATCTCTAGCGTGCATGAGATCTCGAGAGACTGCTATCTCTAGATCGCTCAGTCTCTATCTCTCTCTCTCTATCTCTAGCTCTCTCTCTCTTCTTCTCCGATCTTCTCTCTCTCTCTTCTCTCTCTCTCTCTCTCTCTCTCTCTCTCTCTCTCTCTCTCTCTCCTCTCTGTGTCTGTGTCTGTGTCTGTCTGTCCCCCCCCTCTCCCTCCCAGTCTGTTTCCTACCATGCCCCGTCATAACTACCACCTGGTGGCTCCTCTGGTGCGTGCTTTGTGTGAGAAACATGGAGTTCCCTATCAGGTCAAGACCATGCAGCAAGGCCTCACTGATGTTGTCAGGTAAAACAAGTGTTTTAATGAATACTTTTAAGTGCTTTCCTCTGGGAATACATTGTACATCATAAGGTGATACCTGCTGCTCTCAGGCTCCTCTGTGATTTACCTGGTTTGTTATCCACCTCTGTTCCTCCCCAGGTCACTGAAGAAGTCAGGCGATCTGTGGCTGGATGCATATCTTCATAAATAAATCCCTTCCTGACTCTGGACGGGGTTTAATCCCATCACACATTAACGACCTGCGAACAGAGATAGATTGAAAAGGACATTTCTCCCAGACGTTTGTGTCGATAATGATCGCTGCAAACAGCGTGGATGTTGACTCAAGCGTAAATCACCTTTTTAAAAAGTAAATCACAGGTCTGCATGTGAAACTGGATGTCTGGTGATGTCTTCCCCGTGCCATCTTAACTCTGCCTACCAAACAGAGTACTCTAATGTACAGGTACTATTATACTACCACATACATACAATATTAATCTAATATGTAGTATTATATTGTGTTATTGATGATGTAGGGCTGTTGTTGTGTTTTGTTGTGATGTAACGGTTTTAACCCTGTTTGGACCTCAGGAAGAGTATCCTGCTGCAGCAGCTAATCGGGGATCCTTATTAATACTACAATTCTGACAAAAGCTGTATCCCATCTAGTCCAAACCTAATACAAATATTCTGTATTATATCTGAGTGGCCTGTCTGTGTGGTGGTGATATCACTGTGCGGTGTGCAGTATTTTTTTTAACCACAGTATAGTGTTAACAGAATTTTCAAACATGTCTGTACAATTTTCATTGTCATTTTGAAATAACTTTTAGTATTATTTGGAGTACAAGACCATCATGTAATCAACGACAGGACACTCACTGTGCTGTGAATGTGAGCTGCCTTCACCGAGTTCAGGGTCGTGTTCAGTTGGGAGAAAATGTTTTTAAACGAGGAGGTATGACCTGAAATAGTGCCAATAGGAACATCGATTTTCTGTTGTCAATTGCGAAACGTTTTTTTTTGTCCTATTGAAAACGATCCTAGACTTTGTGGCTGTGTTATTGCTGAGCCTGATCTGTAACATATGGTTGTTCGTTTTAAATCTGTATACTAAAGGGGAAGTTCTATGGAGATAGGTTGCTGCAGTTACAACATTTTGGCAGTAATCTACCCCCCCATAGTGCTCAGTCTGTCCATGGACCTGTTTATGGAGGCAGAAGCTAACGGATTTCTCTTCTGTAAGATCAGACTATTAAAAAAAATGTCTCCTTTTTCCAAGACAGAAGAAACAGGTTGATACTGAATGATAAACTACTTTCACATTATTATTTGGCTGCATCTTCAAGATGTATTACAACAACAAACATTGTAGTAATCGTACAGTACTGTGGTGGCAGAATTGGGGGTGGGCTGTTGGAAATTTCTCTCAAGGGGTTATGCTCTGTTCTCTGTTGGGACTGTGATATTATGCGTTTTCATAGACTCCTAGTATGTATGCACCCTAACACAAGGCCATTGTGTTTCGGAACTTGTTGCTTGTATAAAATAACTGTTGTGTAAAACAATATGATTGTATTAGCACCTCCCACTATATAAGGGACATGTGACCATTTTACTCTTGGAGCTCCGCCCCCTGACTGCAATGCTCATATGTATTAAAGATTCACTATTGTACAATTTTAAATTAGTCTCTGCCTAATCTTTGGATCGAGTTTTCCACAACAGTACTACAGAACAAAATTTAACATGGACGAGGATCTCTACCGACTATGTTTTTTTTTATTAAGACGTTCTCTCCCAACTCTTGTTACCACCAAAGCTGTATTTGCACAACCACATTAATCATATTCTTTAAAAAAGTAACTGGGTTAAATAATAATAAATAAAAAAACTGTTATCTACTCTCCACTACTTCGGATTACTCTTGTGTGATTACCGTACAGTTCTCTGTGAATCATGGAACAGTGACTTTATAAAGAGCATTGTCCACAAAAACGGGATCAGATTGAATTCCGATCTTCGGTTTATTATTGGAGGAATAAACATGTGCACAGAACAGAAATATGATTGGATTAATATTGTAAATGTAAAGCGTACTTCATATAGACCGTCACAGAGATGCAATAGAGGATACAGGTGCTGCATTTAGTAATGGAGAATATGTAAGCTGAATTACAGAAGTGTATTTAGTTGATTTAGTAAACGGCTGCGATATGGACCGTGTGACGTGATATGATAATAGATTGCAGACTGCTCAAAACATACATATAGCGCTATATATTAAACAGTATAACATTGTACTACACTGTAGGTTAGTATAATCGGTTATGTGAACATCATCCAATTTGACAATATACATTGAGGTCCTTATAGATTAGATTTTACAACAACAACAAAAAAAGATATCTTCAAGAAATCCCTGGAGATGGAACAAGGAGACGTTCAAGCCGTAAAACACATACGCACGCCCTATCTCCCTCTCTCGCTCCAAATTCATTTGGTCCCTCAGTTAGACAGTAGTTAGGTTTTTCATCCAATTTGCGACAGATTTCCATGCAAATATTCTAAAATCTGCATAAAACAATATGCGCATTTTCCCACCAGAGATGTGTTTCCATCAAACTGAATTTTTGCGGATAAAAGGCTGTACGTGGTAACGTAGTCCACATAAAAATTACTTTAGCTGTTAAATTCCCATGTACCGAATGAAAACTACAAGTTAAATGGGGTTTCCATCGCATTTTCAACTCTACCGATGGTTTTGTCACAAAACTGCTCACTCTGGTCTTGGCAAATGCGCTCTAGTCAACAGCTTGCATATACAGTGCGAGTAGAACACCTACATTATTACATTATTATGGATAAAAGCGATATTATTATTTTTTTTGTCAAACGGCAGCCAAGTATCTATCATCATGTCACCAGAATCAGACCCTCGATATTTATTGGAAAGGAGCATCAAGCTCATCACCGTGCACTTTCACCACACCCTGTGAAGTTCATCGTAAACGATTTCATCTGTAGCCTAATAAACGGCATGCTTTCACGAGTTGTAGTGGGAGGACCACACTACATACCATCGACTACATGTTGACTTCGATATGGTTATTATATCAACATTTCCGCATAAAGGCATTTCCACCGCCATTTCTCGCATAATTAATTTTACCGACACAAAAAAGATCCCACCATGTCGAATGAACAAATTGTCTGTTGGCATTTATAAAATTGTACCAGTATTTAATGTTTCCATCAGCCAGGTCGTGACTCAGGTAATTCATCCGCATGAAATGGTTGGATGGAAACGTGGTTAGTGTCAGACAAAGCAACAGTTCATTTCCAGAGGAAAAAGTAAACATACACAAACAATAAAAATAAATATACAATTTAAAAAATGTATATAACAACATTTATAGTACATGCCAATATTAAATGTCAATTGCCTGATAAAAAGCCGTTGGTTTGTGAAAGGGTAGGCGCTTTGGGAGGGGAAGGCTTATGGTTGGTTAGTACTGGAGAGGGTTGTTATGGTGACCAGCCACGCTGGGCTGTGATTGGTTGACAATCAGTGAGCATGCCCAGATCAGTCCTTGCCGGCATCGATCTTCTCTTGTCGTCGTCTCATGATCTCCTGGAGCTCTGAATCCCCATTGCTCTTCTGGAAAACAGTAATACACGGTTTAGTTTCACACGTCCCAACATACACTGAATAAAAATATAAAACGCAACATGCAAAACATTTTGCGATTTTACTGAATTACAGTTCATTTAAGGAAATCAGTCAATTTAAATACAGTGAGGGAAAAAAGTATTTGATCCCCTGCTGATTTTGTACATTTGCCCACTGACAAAGACATGATCAGTCTATAATTTTAATGGTAGGTTTATTTGAACAGTGAGAGACAAAATAACAACAAAAAAATCCATAAAAACGCATGTCAAAAATGATATAAATTGATTTGCATTTTAATGAGGGAAATAAGTATTTGACCCCTCTGAAAAACATTACTTAGTACTTGGTGGAAAACCCCTTGTTGGCAATCACAGAGGTCAGATGTTTCTTGTAGTTAGCCACCAGGTTTGCACACATCTCAGGAGGGATTTTGTTCCACTCTTTGCAGATCTTCTCCAAGTCATTAAGGTTTCGAGGCTGACGTTTGGCAACTCGAACCTTCAGCTCCCTCCACAGATTTTCTATGGGATTAAGGTCTGGAGACTGGCTAGGCCACTCCAGGACCTTAATGTACTTCTTCTTGAGCCACTCCTTTGTTGCCTTGGCCGTGTGTTTTGGGTCATTGTCATGCTGGAATACCCATCCACGACCCATTTGCAATGCCCTGATGAGGGAAGGAGGTTCTCACCCAAGATTTGACGGTACATGGTGCCGTAGATCGTCCCTTTGATGCGGTGAGGTTGTCCTGTCCCCTTAGCAGAAAAACACCACCAAAGCATAGTGTTTCCACCTCCATGTTTGACGGTGGGGATGGTGTTCTTGGAGTCATAGACAGCATTCCTCCTCCTCCAAACACGGCGAGTTGAGTTGATGCCAAAGAGCTTGATTTTGGTCTCATCTGACCACAACACTTTCACCCAGTTCTCCTCTGAATCATTCAAAACTTCAGACGGCCGTGTATATGTGCTTTCTTGAGCAGGGGGACCTTGCGGGCACTGCAGGATGTCAGTCCTTCACGGCGTAGTGTGTTACCAATTGTTTTCTTGGTGACTATGGTCCCAGCTGCCTTGAGATCATTGACAAGATCCTCCTGTGTAGTTCTGGGCTGATTCCTCACCGTTCTCATGATCATTGCAACTCCACGAGGTGAGATCTTACATGGAGCCTCAGGCCGAGGGAGATTGACAGGTCTTTTGTGTTTCTTCCATTTGCGAATAATCGCACCAACTGTTGTCCCCTTCTCACCAAGCTGCTTGGCGATGGTCTTGTAGCCCATTCCAGCCTTGTGTAGGTCTACAATCTTGTCCCTGACATCCTTGGAGAGCTCTTTGGTCTAGGCCATGGTGGAGAGTTTGGAATCTGATTGATTGATTGCTTCTGTGGACAGGTGTCTTTTGTACAGGTAACAAACTGATATTAGGAGCACTCCCTTTAAGAGAGTGCTCCTAATCTCAGCTCGTTAGCTGTATAAAAGACACCTGGGAGCCAGAAATCTTTCTGATTGAGAGGGGGTCAAATACTTATTTCCCTCATTAAAATGCAAATCAATTTATAACATTTTTGACATGCGTTTTTCTGGATTTTTTTGTTGTTATTCTGTCTCTCACTGTTCAAATAAACCTACCATTAAAATTATAGACTGATCATTTCTTTGTCAGTGGGCAAACGTACAAAATCAGCAGGGGATCAAATACTTTTCCTCACTGTATATACATGGGGTACCAGTACCGAGTCTATGTGCAAGGGTAGGAGGTACAGTGGCTTGCGAAAGTATTCACCCCCTTGGCATTTTTCCTATTTTGTTGCCTTACAACCTGGAATTAAAAATGTTTTTTTGGGGGGGGTTGTATCATTTGATTTACACAACATGCCTACCACTTTGAAGATGCAAAATATATAATTAAAATTATAGACTGATCATTTCTTTGTCAGTGGGCAAACGTACAAAATCAGCAGGGGATCAAATACTTTTTTCCCTCACTGTAAATTCATTAGGCCCTAATCTATGGATTTCACATGACTGGGAATACAGATATGCATCTGTTGGTCACAGATACCTTTTTAAAAAAGGTAGGGGGGTGGATCAGAAAACCAGTCAGTATCTGGTGTGACCACCATTTGCCTCATGCAGCGCGACACATCTCCTTTGCATTGAGTTGATCAGGCTGGTGAGTATGCAGGCCATGGAAGAATTGGTACATTTCAGCTTCCAGGAATTGTGTACAGATCCTTGCGACATGGGGCCGTGCATCATCGTGCTGAAACATGAGGTGATGGCGGCGGATGAATGGCACAACAATGGGCCTCAGTATCTCGTCACGGTATCTCTGTCCATTCAAATTGCCATCCATAAAATGCAATTGTGTTCGTTGTGCGTAGCTTATGCCTGCCCATACCATAACCACACCATGGGGAACTCTGCTCACCCACACGACACCATAAACGCTTGTCTGCCATCTGCCCGGTACAGTTGAAACCAGGATTAATCCGTGAAAAGCACACTTCTCCAGCGTGACAGTGGCCATCGAAGGTGAGCATTTGCCCACTGAAGTCGGTTACGACGCCGAACTGCAGTCAGGTCAAGACCCTGATGAGGATGATGAGCACGCAGATGAGCTTCCCTGAGACGGTTTCTGACAGTTTGTACAGAAATTATTCGGTTGTGCAAACCCACAGTTTCATCAGCTGTCCAGGTAGGCTGGTCTCAGACCATCCCGCAGGTGAAGAAGCTTGATGTGGAGGTCCTGGGCTGGCGTGGTTTCACGTGATCTGCGGTTGTGAGGCCGCAGATCGCACTCAATTCTCTGGCAACAGCTCTGGATGTACATTCCTGCAGTCAGCATGCCAATTGCACTCTCCCTCAAAACTTGAGACATCTGTGGCATTGTGTTGTGAGACAAAACTGCACATTTTAGAGTAAGTGGCCTTTTGTTGTCCCCAGCACAAGGTGCACCTGTGTAATGATCATGCTGTTTAATCAGCTTCTTGATGTGTGGATGGATTAGCTCAGTTGGTAGAGCATGGCATTTGCAACGCCAGGGTTGTGGGTTCGTTTCTCACGGGGGACCAGTATGAAAAGAATGTATGTATGCACTCACTAACTGTAAGTCGCTCTGGATAAGAGTGTCTGCTAAATTACAAAAAATATATATATATATTTTTTTAAATGCTCACTAACAGGAATGTAAAAAAAATGTGTGCACAACATTGGAGAGAAATAAGCGTGTTGTGCATATATACACTGCTCAAAAAAATTAAGGGAACACTAAAATAACACATCCTAGATCTGAATGAATGAAATAATCTTATTAAATACTTTTTTTTTACATAGTTGAATGTGCTGACAACAAATCACACAAAAATTATCAATGGAAATCAAATGTATCAACCCATGGAGGTCTGGATTTGGAGTCACCCTCAAAATTAAAGTGGAAAACCACACTACAGGCTGATCCAACTTTGATGTAATGTCGTTAAAACAAGTCAAAATGAGGCTCAGTAGTGTGTGTGGCCTCCATGTGCCTGTATGACCTCCCTACAACGCCTGGGCATGCTCCTGATGAGGTGGTGGATGGTCTCCTGAGGGATCTCCTCCCAGACCTGGACTAAAGCATCCGCCAACTCCTGGACAGTCTGTGGTGCAACGTGGCGTTGGTGGATGGAGCGAGACATGATGTCCCAGATGTGCTCAATTGGATTCAGGTCTGGGGAACGGGCGGGCCAGTCCATAGCATCAATGCCTTCCTCTTGCAGGAACTGCTGACACACTCCAGCCACATGAGGTCTAGCATTGTCTTGCATTAGGAGGAACCCAGGGCCAACCGCACAGCATATGGTCTCACAAGGGGTCTGAGGATCTCATCTCGGTACCTAATGGCAGTCAGGCTACCTCTGGCGAGCACATGGAGGGCTGTGCGGCCCCCCCAAAGAAATTGCCACCCCACACCATGACTGACCCACCGCCAAACCCGTCCATGCTGGAGGATGTTGCAGGCAGCAGAACGTTCTCCACGGCGTCTCCAGACTCTGTCACGTCTGTCACGTGCTCAGTGTTGAAACCTGCTTTCATCTGTGAAGAGCATAGAGCGCCAGTGGCGAATTTGCCAATCTTGGTGTTCTCTGGCAAATGCCAAATGTCCTGCACGGTGTTGGGCTTAAGCACAACCCCCCACCTGTGGACGTCGGGCCCTCATACCATCCTCATGGAGTCTGTTTCTGACCGTTTGAGCAGACACATGCACATTTGTGGCCTGCTGGAGGTCATTTTGCAGGGCTCTGGCAGTGCTCCTCCTGCTCCTCCTTGCACAAAGGGCGGAGGTAGCAGTCCTGCTGCTGGGTTGTTGCCCTCCTAACGGCCTCCTCCACGTCTCCTGATGTACTGGCCTGTCTCCTGGTAGCGCCTCCATGCTCTGGACACTACGCTGACAGACACAGAAAACCTTCTTGCCACAGCTCACATTGATGTGCCATCCTGGATGAGCTGCACTAACCTGAGCCACTTTGTGTGGGTTGTAGACTCCGTCTCATGCTACCCACTAGAGTGAAAGCACCGCCAGCATTCAAAAGTGACCAAAACATCAGCCAGGAAGCATAGGAACTGAAATGTGGTCTGTGGTCACCACCTGCAAAACCAGTCCTTTATTGGGGGTGTCTTGCTAATTGCCTATAATTTCCACCTGTTGTCTATTCCATTTGCACAACAGCATGTGAAATGTATTGTCAATCAGTGTTGCTTCCTAAGTGGACAGTTTGATTTCACAGAAGTGTGATTGACTTAGAGTTACATTGTGTTGTTTAAGTGTTCCCTTAATTTTTTTGAGTAGTGTATTACATTTCTGGGATGTTTTATTTCAGCTGATGAAACATGGGCTGGCGTGGTTTACACTTTACATGTTGCATATATATTTTTGTTCAGTGTATGTGTACTTCTGTTACATTTACTGTACGCAATGTAACCATAGTTCATCCACTTACACCAACCTAAAAAGGCCCAAATAGATGTGGGTCGCAAGCCCTTAAAACAAGCAGTGTTGGGTGTGTGTTTATATATGACAGAGACCTCGCAAGCTGGGCTTTCTGCACGGTGGTCTGGCATGTAGACCCTGGTAGTCCCCCGTCTCCACACACTGCCTTCAGTTCCTCTTGTTCATCATAGAGATAAGCTGAGCAACCGGGTCAGGATCCCCAGACACTCCAACCGTCCTGTAGGTGAACAGAGACTAATTACCCATAATTCCTATACCCTCTCTATACCCAGACACTTCCATCCACCAGCCTCTGTAGGGAACAAGACTACATTACCCATAATTCTCTATACCCAGACATTCCACCGCCCTGTAGGGAACAGAGACTATATTACCCATAATGCTCTATACCCATTCCTGAGGGGCCAGGCACACAGACAGAATATTCTCAGTACAATAGTAAAATACAGATCCGGTTCATCCATTTCCCATTCAGCAATTTCATGATGTACAACTGAAACTTTGATTAGTTTACGTTCGGAATTGATTTAACTGAAATGGAACTGACAGCGACCTTAATCGCACCATGAGCTAACTGATGACCAGATCATAAAGCATGATCACACCATGAGCTAACTGATGACCAGATCATAAAGCATGATAACACCATGAGCTAACTGATGACCAGATCATAAAGCATGATAACACCATGAGCTAACTGATGACCAGATCATAAAGCATGATAACACCATGAGCTAACTGATGACCAGATCATAAAGCATATAACACCAATGAGCGAACTGATTACCTAATCATAAAGCATGATAACCCAATGACTACTGATGACTCTATATTCATAAAGCATGAGAACACAATGAGCTAACTGATTACCATATCATAAGCATGATAACACCATGATCTACTGTGACCAGATCATAAAGCATGATAACACATTAAGCTAACTGATGCCAGGATCATAAATGCCCCCCCCCCGCATTATAACCCCATGAGCTAACTGATGACCCGATCATAAAGCATGATAACACCAACAGGTCACAGCACTTTGTCACTTTTCTCACTTTCTCCTCCTCACTTTTTCTCAAAATGGTAAAAGTATAAAACATTGTTAACTGATGCTGTGTGTGTGTGGTGTGTGGTGTGTGGTGTGTGTGTGTGTGGTGTCTCACGGTTTAGTGAATCCCTTGGTGTTGAGCCAGGCGGTGACCTGTGGTGGGCTGGAGCTGAAAGTGAGGGGAGCGGAGCTGCTGCCTGAGGGACGCTCCACCCTGAAGTTACGGGCTGGAAGCTGAGACTTATTACTAGTGATCCTCTTCAACAACTCATCATTCCACCTCATCATCTGGTGTGTCCGAGCTGGGGAGGGGGAGGGGTGAGACAGAGAGACAGAGACAGAGAGATGGTGAGAGGGAGAGAGTGACGAGGGAGAGCGGAGAGGGAAGAGGGAGAGGGACGAGGGAGAGGGGGAGAGAGAGAGAGAGATGAGAGAGAGAATAGCATATGAAGAGAAGATCCGCCCCCCCTCTCCCCCTTGTCCCCCCTCGCCTCCCTCTCTCTTCCTTATCTTTTTTCTTTCTCGCCCTCTTCTCCCTGCTATATTCTGATCTTTCCCTTCTTTTCCCTCACTCCGCTGTGTGGTTTTTGCTCCTCCCTTCTCTATTCGCCGGGCGTTGTTTTTGTTTTTTTTTTTTGTTTTTTTTTTTTTTGTTTTGGCCGCGCCGCCGCCAGGCCGACTTTGTGTGTTTCCCAACGCCGCCGCCATTTGTTTTATTTTTTTTCTGTTTTTTTCTTTTTTTTTTTTTTTTGTTTGTTTTCGCCGCGGGCCGCTTCGGCGGCGGGCCGCGCGGGCCCGCCAGCGGTTTTTTCAGAGACGCGAGCGCGCGCGCGCGCGATAGCGAGAGAGCGAAGAAGGCAGTTATGGTGGAGGAGGAGAGAGTTTTGTTGTTGGGGTTTTTGGTTGTTGTGTTTTGGTGTTTTTTTATTTTTTTTCCGCCCGCGCCCCGGCCCCCCCACGAAAAGCCCCCCCCACGCAGAAAGCAGGGACGAGACACAAAACAGAACCAAGAAGAACAGTACCGGGAGCGCAGACAAATAAACCCACCAAAGAACAGGCACACAGACCCCGAGCAGAATCCAACAAAACAGAAACAAATCCAGCCAATAAGGAGAACCCAGTCTAGAGAGAATAACGAACGCATAGCGCGAAATACAGATTGTAAACGGAATCATACCATTAGATGAACACATCTCCATACGAAACTAGCTTTAAGCATGAACATAATATTTAGATACGAATAGCCTAGTTATAAATAGAATTATGACTAATCAGAGAAAGGGGACCTAAAAAAGGTAACTGAGCCAATAACCAAAGTAACGGACACGATAGCTACTGAATGACCAGACATAAAGCATGATACACCACAGGTATCAGTCAGCTTTGTAAACTTGTTCTCACTGCTCCTACGACGCTATTTGCTCAAATGGTAAAGAGATCATAACATTGTGAACGTGCCTGTGTGTTGTGGTGTTGGTGGTGATGGATGGTGTGTGATGTCACAGAACGAGTGAGATGCTTGAAGATTGAGAGGCGGTGACCTTGGTGGGCTGTAGAGCTGAAAGAGGGGAGGACTGTAGTGAGGGAGTACGGACTGAAGGTTACGCAGAAAGGATAGCTGGACATATGAACTAGTGATCACTTTAAGACACATGGCGATTCAACTCATCGATCTGGATGAGTCGAGCTGGGGGAGAGGAGGTAGGGTTAGGACAGAGAGACAGAAAGTAGGAGCATGGTGAGATGTAAGAGGGAGACAAGGGAGGGGAGGGATAAGGAGAATGAGCGAGAGAGAGAGGGACGAGAGAGATCTCTCTTCTCGCCGCTCCTCTAGCCGAAGTACGCCTCTCCGCCTCTCAGGATTCTCTCTTGTCCCAGTAGATCGTCTCTGCATCCGCTCTGCTCATGCTCTTCTGGAGACAGCTCGAGAGATAGATCATAGGAAGCTGAGATCAGAAGAGGCGAGAGACAACAGAGAGAGAGAGAGCCGAGAGAGAGAGAAGAAGCCAGTAGAGATAGTCTTTCTCTGAACGAAACTCCTCCCTCCCTCGCCTAACAGATGTAAGGAGGAAGTACTGTTTAGATGGCATTCCTACTTATCTACAAGGGCTGAGGTCCTCTTAGCTAAGATGAGAAAACTTGTAAAAGCATTGAAGCTAAGATAGCTCAGATAGCTAAGATAAGCAGTTATCTAGATTGTTTAGTAGGAAATGAAACCTAAGAGACCAGTATCATAGACAGAAATTAGTTGGTGGGTAGGTCTACAGAAATCTGGGTGGGCCCTGTGGCAAAGAGGAAAAGGTGCAGTTTTATAGCTGATCTCATGCTATTCTACACATTTTGCCATGATGCTGAGAGAACATTTATCTTGTTTGCTAAATGAACAGATGCAGTAGTCAGTAGCAATAGAAGCACAGTGACATACAGCCTCAATGCAGTCATATTCCTGTCTTATTGGGGGTGTGGCTTTCAGTTAGTTATTTTTGGCAACCCCATCCCAGGAGAGTGAATGTCAATCCAGTGGCACTGCTTGCTATGAATTCTATCTGATGGTGTTTGCATTTTTTAGGTAAAAAAAAAAAGACTAATAATGTCCCCATTTGAAAACACTCAATCTGATTGGGTGGGCCTGGCACCTCAGACGGCCTACACGGCTGTAAGAGACTCACAGTCTTTGGAGCGGCCCATGTCAAAGCTCTCCCCTCTTCCTAGAGAGCTGGAGGGAGAGGTGGGGCTGTAGGGCTGGCTAGCCTGGCGGTCCACGGTCACACGCAGAGGAGACAGAGAGGAAGACATGTTATAGACAGGTAGCTTTAGTGGTTAAGAGCGTTGTGCCAGTAACCGAAAGGTCGCTGGGTTCTAATCCCTGTTGACAGGATGTATTGCCTTATAACTGGTAGGTTGGTACAGAATGGAGGGTTGGTAGCATGACGGTGTGTGTGTGTTGTGTTTTAGCAGTACAAAGGTGTGTACATAATTAAAGGTCTACACACTGCATTTATGAGTGTAAAACAACATGTTTGTATGTGTGTGTTTGTGTGTGTATGTGTGCGTGCATACATGTGTGTGTGTGTGTGTGTGTGTGTGTGGGTGGGTGGGTGCATGCATATGTGTGTTTGTATGTGTGTGTGTGTTTGTATGTGCGTGTGTGTGTGTGTGTGTGTGCGTGTTGGTATGCATGTGTGTGTGTGTTTGTATGCGTGTGTGTGTGTGTGTATGTGTGTGTATGCGTGTGTGTGTGTGTGTATGTGTGTGTGTGTGTGTGTGTATATATGTGTGTGGCTCTGTAGCTAGCTAACTAACCCACACTAGATTTTGTGGGTGGGTGGGTGAATGCATATGTGTGTGTGTGTGTGTGTGTGTGTGTGTGTGTGTGTGTGTGTGTGTGTGTGTGTGTGTGTGTGTGTGTGTATGAGTGAGTGTGTGTGTGTGTGTGTGTGTATGCGTGTGTGTGTGTGTGTGTATGTGTGTGTATGTGTGTATAATGTTACCTGGCTATAGAGGGGATCAGCCATGCCATATGGTTCCTCCAGTTTGACCACGTCCAGTACGTTGGCGGGGACGTATCCTGACTGGCCGCTCCTGTTCCTCAGTTTCCACCACTGCCTGTCGTCCTCCAACACCTGCAAAGCCACAATGACATAATAATAATGATGATGATGATGATGATGATGATGATGATGGTGATGATGATGATGATGATGATGACGATGACGATGATATGTATTTATCTCAACACCACAAGGATGACGCGGGTGAAGTTCAGTCTAGTGCTGTAGGTTATTTATCTTTAAATGCACCAGGTAATCATTCTTAAACCAATGACTTCATGTATTCAGTTTGTATACCAATTCTGTGGTCAATTTTACTAATGGTTAAGATTTGTGAAATATTTTCAGCATTATTTTCACGATAGCTCACATTGTTCGCCTGCATAATTTAAATCTCAGCAGGACAATAACCTAAAACAAAAGGCCAAATCTACACTGGAGTTGCTCACCAAGGCGACATCGAATGTTCCCGAGTGGCCGAGTTACAAAATGGCTTGAAAATCTATGGCAAGACTTGAAAATGGCTGTCTAGCAATGATCAACAACCAACTTGACAGAGTTTGAAGAATATTTAAAAGAATAATGTGCAAAAATTGTACAATCCAGGTGTGAAAAGCTCTTAGAGACTTACCCAGAAAGACTCACAGCTGTAATCGCTGCCAAAGGTGATTCTAACATGTATTGACTCAGGGGTGTGAATACTTATGTAAATGATATGTTTCTGTATTTCATTTTCAATACATTTGCTAACATTTCTAAAAAAACATGTTTTCACTTTGTCATTATGGGGTATTGTGGGTAGATGGATGAGAAAAATATATATTTTTTAATCCATGTTGAATTAAGGTTGTAACACAAAATGTGGAATAAATCAAGGGGTATGAATACTTTCTGAAGGCACGGTATATGTGTCCATAGAAGCTGTGTGAATAACTGATGTCATAACCCACTCTCCCAACGCTGACAAAAGCATCAGAAGGAAGTCTATGGTAATAAACAGAATGTTCTGTGACGTCCCACCCCTTCAAGCTGACAGTTATAGGTTATCTTGCTAAAGGAGGAATGTTAACCCTAACCTCCCGAGTGGCGCAGTGGTCTAAGGCACTGCATCGCAGTGCTAGCTGTGCCACTAGAGATCCTGGTTCGAATCCAGGCTCTGCTGTATGGGGCGGCGCACAATTGGCCCAGCGTCGTCCAGGGTAGGGGAGGGAATGGCCGGCAGGGAGGTAGCTCAGTTGGTAGAGCATGGCGTTTGCAACGCCAGGGTTGTGGGTTCGATTCCCACGGGGGGGCAGTATGAAAATAAAAAAGAATAATGTATGCACTAACTGTAAGTCGCTCTGGATAAGAGCGTCTGCTAAATGACGTAAATGTAAATGTAAATGTTAACGGGTCAAGCTGGTAAAAAAAAAAAAAAGGTTCAATCAAATCCTATACAGTGGCCTAGTCAAGCGGTCTAAGCCGCTGCCTCCGGAACACATACACCAATGCAGAATGGGTTTGAATCCGACCCACTGCTATTTCAGCACTCGCTCTCCTCTATCTTTCCTCTCTTAACTGCCGTATTCAATAAAGAAACAAATATCTAAGGGGTGGGACTGCCCCACTGCTTTAAAAAATAAATAAAATAAAGCCTGTACTGACAGTATTATAATATAGATGTCGTACCTCTAGCACCTCCTCCTCCAGTACTGACAGTATTATAATATAGATGTCGTACCTCTAGCACCTCCTCCTGCAGTACTGACAGTATTATAATATAGATGTCTCTAGCACCTCCTCCTGCAGTACTGACAGTATTATAATATAGATGTCGTACCTCTAGCTCCTCCTGCAGTACTGACAGTATTATAATATAGATGTCGTACCTCTAGCACCTCCTCCTGCAGTACTGACAGTATTATAATATAGATGTCTCTAGCACCTCCTCCTGCAGTACTGACAGTATTATAATATAGATGTCTCTAGCACCTCCTCCTGCAGTACTGACAGTATTATAATATAGATGTCTCTAGCACCTCCTCCTGCAGTACTGACAGTATTATAATATAGATGTCTCTAGCACCTCCTCCTGCAGTACTGACAGTATTATAATATAGATGTCTCTAGCACCTCCTCCTGCAGTACTGACAGTATTATAATATAGATGTCTCTAGCACCTCCTCCTGCAGTACTGACAGTATTATAATATAGATGTCTCTAGCACCTCCTCCTGCAGTACTGACAGTATTATAATATAGATGTCGTACCTCTAGCACCTCCTCCTGCAGTACTGACAGTATTATAATATAGATGTCGTACCTCTAGCACCTCCTCCTGCAGTACTGACAGTATTATAATATAGATGTCGTACCTCTAGCACCTCCTCCTTCAGTACTGACAGTATTATAATATAGATGTCGTACCTCTAGGACCTCGTCTTGCAGTACTGACAGTTCGCTGGCGTTGCGGGCCACAAAGTGGTAGCAGATCTTAGCATATTTACGGGACGAGGACGCCAGACCGTTGTAGGACCTGAGACAGGAGACACGTGTCACAGAGTCAGTCTTAACATGTCTGTAGAGTTACAGGTTACAGCTCAAGAAATAACAACAATGAGAAAAGTAGCAGCGTGTGCTGTGACGGAGAATCACAGTAGCTAGAAATCATTTGTGAATTTTGAAAAATATCATAAACTGACCCATTTGATGAGCTTGAAGACTGGGTTCCAAAAAACTGAAAGAGGGAGATGATTTTATTATCATTGTAAAGTGATGTTATGGACTGGTATTGTGTATGTCTGACTATTGTAACCCCCTGAACTCTATGAAATAGCTGAAAGTATTCAAACCTGCATCATAAAACAGAATTTGAAAACCAAAAAGATCTTATGAGCGACAAGAAATGTCACTGAAGAAATGTAACAATGTAACAATGTAACAATGGATGTCTGGGAGGTTTACTATAAGACTGAAATGGACAGCTGTTTTTCTACTGACCAAACTCCTCCATCTCACCTCGTCTGACTTGTGGGGGGGCAGGGGGTTGGACATGGAGGACATGAAGGACATGGGGGGTTCCACTGATCCCTCTGTCTCCCACGGGGAGGTCCTGAACAGCTCAGCTGGGGGCTCCCACCCGTTCCTGAACTTAGGGAGGTAGATAGGAGCACACTTGTCCCGCGGCCAGTCCGCTCTGCAAGGGAGTGGTGGCGAAATACCAGGCATTTTGACTTGGTTGAAATGTTGACACAGAGAGACATAACCAGGGGTGTAGTGGAGGGTAAACAGAGAGACATAACCAGGGGTGTAGTGGAGGGTAAACAGAGAGACATAACCAGGGGTGTAGTGGAGGGTAAACAGAGAGACATAACCAGGGGGGTAGTGGAGGGTAAACAGAGAGACATAACCAGGGGTGTAGTGGGGGGTAAACAGAGAGACATAACCAGGGGGGTAGTGGGGGGTAAACAGAGAGACATAACCAGGGGTGTAGTGGAGGGTAAACAGAGAGACATAACCAGGGGGGTAGTGGGGGGTAAACAGAGAGACATAACCAGGGGGGTAGTGGAGGGTAAACAGAGACATAACCAGGGGTGTAGTGGAGGGTAAACAGAGACATAACCAGGGGTGTGGTGGAGGGTAAACAGAGAGACATAACCAGGGGTGTAGTGGAGGGTAAACAGAGACATAACCAGGGGGGTAGTGGAGGGTAAACAGAGAGACATAACCAGGGGTGTAGTGGAGGGTAAACAGAGAGACATAACCAGGGGGTAGTGGAGGGTAAACAGAGACATAACCAGGGGTGTAGTGGGAGGGTAAACAGAGAGACATAACCAGGGGTGTAGTGGAGGGTAAACAGAGAGACATAACCAGGGGGGTAGTGGAGGGTAAACAGAGACATAACCAGGGGGGTAGTGGAGGGTAAACAGAGACATAACCAGGGTGTAGTGGAGGGTAAACAGAGAGACATAACCAGGGGGGGTAGTGGAGGGTAAACAGAGACATAACCAGGGGTGTAGTGGAGGGTAAACAGAGAGACATAACCAGGGGTGTAGTGGAGGGTAAACAGAGAGACATAACCAGGGGTGTAGTGGAGGGTAAACAGAGAGACATAACCAGGGGGGTAGTGGAGGTAAACAGAGAGACATAACCAGGGGTGTAGTGGAGGGTAAACAGAGACATAACCAGGGGTGTAGTGGAGGGTAAACAGAGAGACATAACCAGGGGTGTGGTGGAGGGTAAACAGAGACATAACCAGGGGTGTAGTGGAGGGTAAACAGAGAGACATAACCAGGGGTGTAGTGGAGGGTAAACAGAGACATAACCAGGGGTGTAGTGGAGGGTAAACAGAGAGACATAACCAGGGGTGTGGTGGAGGGTAAACAGAGAGACATAACCAGGGGTGTAGTGGAGGGTAAACAGAGAGACATAACCAGGGGGGTAGTGGAGGGTAAACAGAGAGACATAACCAGGGGGGTAGTGGAGGGTAAACAGAGAGACATAACCAGGGGGGTAGTGGAGGGTAAACAGAGACATAACCAGAGGTGTAGTGGAGGGCATTGAAAGCATTATTTATTTCACCCCGACCGACGATCAGAGTTTACCACACTGGACATGACATCTGACAAGCCCTATAAGACATTATAAAGGCTCACACAAGCTTATAACAATGTATACATTATTATAAGTTGCAGGCTTAACAGCAGGCTTTAGATAAAGTGTTACCAATTGGATAATAGCATAACAATCACTCCCATCTCTAAATGTAGAGGGATGACTGACCTTAGACCGCTGCTCCCGAGTGGCACAGCTGCACTGCATCTCAGTGCTTGAGGCGTCACTACAGGCCGAGTGGCGCAGCGGTCTAAGGCACTGCATCTCAGTGCTTGAGGCGTCACTACAGGCCGAGTGGCGCAGCGGTCTAAGGCACTGCATCTCAGTGCTTGAGGCGTCACTACAGACCGAGTGGCGCAGCGGTCTAAGGCACTGCATCTCAGTGCTTGAGGCGTCACTACAGGCCGAGTGGCGCAGCGGTCTAAGGCACTGCATCTCAGTGCTTGAGGCGTCACTACAGACCGAGTGGCGCAGCGGTCTAAGGCACTGCATCTCAGTGCTTGAGGCGTCACTACAGACTCCCTGGTTCGATTCCAGGCTGTATCACAACCGGGCCGTGATTGGGAGTCCCATAGGGTGACGCACAATTGACCCAGCGTCGTCTGGGTTTGGCCAGTGCAGGCCGTCATTGTAAATAAGAATTAGTTCTTAACTGACTTGCCTAATTAAATAAAGGTAAAAATAAAATTAAATATTTTTCAGATTTCAGATGAATACATGTAATACATCTAATATTTACAAACAGGGACACGGGCTATCTGAGTTAACCTTGTATCTTATTGACCTTTTATTCTGATTTTTGCACTGTCTATGCACACTCACAGCGCCCTACAACTGACCCTGTATATAGTCACCTTACCCCTATACATATCTACCTCTATCACTCCAGTATCCCTGCACATTGTTAATATGGTATTGAACTGACCCTGTATATAGTATGCTTACTTACTTATTGTGTTCTTCATATTTGTCTAACACACACGCAAACACACACACACACACACACACACACACACACACCCCACACCCTCCCTCTAGTACCTAGGTCTTGTCCACCCGTCTCCCAGCAGTTCAAAGACAGTCATCTCTTTAGGCGACAGATGACCTCTCAGGAAGTCTACTGCATCTCTGGATAAGTGAGGGGAGACCACGGAGCGGGGAAGCTCTGGACTGCCACAGGACCGGAGCACCTAGAAGTCAAAGGTTAGAGGTCACACATCTACCTGTACAGTATCCAGGACAGTATCCAGGACAGTATCCAGGACAGTATCCAGGACTGTATCCATCCAGGACAGTATCTAGGACAGTATCCAGGACAGTATCCATCCAGGACAGTATCTAGGACAGTATCCAGGACAGTATCCAGGACAGTATCCACGACAGTATCTAGGACAGTATCCAGGACAGAATCTAGGAGAGTATCCAGGACAGTATCCAGGACATTTTCTATCCAGGACAGTATCCATCCAGGACAGTATCCATCCAGGACAGTATCCATCCAGGACAGTATCCAGGACAGTATCCAGGACAGTATCTAGGACAGTATCCACGACAGTATCCACGACAGTATCCACGACAGTATCTAGGACAGTATCCAGTATCCAGGACAGTATCCATCCAGGACAGTATCCAGGACAGTATCCACAACAGTATCTAGGACAGTATCCACGACAGTATCTAGGACAGTATCCAGGACAGTATCCAGGACAGTATCCAGGACAGTATCCAGGACAGTATCCAGGACAGTATCCAGGACAGTATACAGGCGTGGTTGGATGAATGAGAGAGGTTAGGTAAATCATTATGGAACTGTGGTGAGTGAAATCACACTGCTCCGGTGTGGTTAATATCATTCAACGGTTGGGAGGGTGTGCCATGGATTGTGACTGTGTGTGTGTGTGTGTGTGTGTGTGTGTGTGTGTGTGTGTATCAGTCAGGTTCTTACCAGGTCCAGGGGGCCAAAGAGGAAGTGCACAAGTTCAGAAGCGCTGGGGTTCTGGATGTGCTTCTTCAGTTTGGCCTGCAGGGGGCAGAGTAAGATACAATTCACCACAGCTCTGTAGGCTGTCATAAATAGAGCTGATGGGATTACTTATTTTATGTGACAGAGAAACATGTTTGTTCTACATAATATATTTCTATATGAACATTCTACAATGTTGTGCCCTTCTGAACGGACCCTGGTGTAGTACTGAGGTGCCCCTGGTGTAGTATTGAGGTGCCCCTGGTGCCCCTGGTGTAGTACTGAGGTGCCCCTGGTGCCCCTGGTGTAGTACTGAGGTGCCCCTGGTGTAGTACTGAGGTGCCCCTGGTGTAGTACTGAGGTGCCCCTGGTGTAGTACTGAGGTGCCCCTGGTGTAGTACTGAGGTGCCCCTGGTGTAGTACTGAGGTGCCCCTGGTGTAGTATTGAGGTGCCCCTGGTGTAGTATTGAGGTGCCCCTGGTGTAGTACTGAGGTGCCCCTGGTGTAGTACAGAGGTGCCCCTGGTGTAGTATTGAGGTGCCCCTGGTGTAGTACAGAGGTGCCCCTGGTGCCCCTGGTGTAGTACTGAGGTGCCCCTGGTGCCCCTGGTGTAGTACTGAGGTGCCCCTGGTGTAGTACTGAGGTGTAGTACTGAGG